TGAAGATCATGTGACACTGAAGACTGGAGTAATGATGCTGAAAATACAGCTGCGCATCACAGAAATAAATTACAATTCAACAGAGATTCACATACAAAACAGCTGCTTTAAATTATAATAATATTTCACAATTTTTACTGTATTTTTGATCAAATAAATGCAGCACTGGTGAGCAGGAGAGATCCGATCTGAACATTGGTTATTGTTTATATGATCCTCATATTCATGTGTTTGTCATCACTGACTGAATAAAGTTTCTTCTCCTCTTGCGTTTTACTCCAGATCTGTTTGGCCTGTCGTCATGGTTACGTGGAGGCCTGAAGCATTGTGGGATTGTGTAGGAGCCCCTCAGCCCTTCAAAGCACCAGCTGTCCAAGTGAAGAGCAGGCGTAGTAAATTGTGGCCATTATTAGGAGAAAACAGCAGCAAGTGAGGTAATTATTCGTAGCCACGAGTCACAGGTGTTCACAAAAGCTTGTAAATCAAGTGTCCGGCAGCAGAATCGACCCCCCAGAGATAATGGAGCCTGTCCCGCCCGAATCGCCGGCTCCTCCTCCCCCTCCGGCTCATCCTCCCCCTCCAGCTCCTCCTGCTCCTCCTCCCCCTCCTGTCCTCCCCCTCCTGCTCCTCCGGCTCCTCCTCCCCTCCTGCTCCTCCTACTCCTCCTCCCCCTCCTGCTCCTCCGGCTCCTCCTCTCCTGAATCCAGAGCTAATAGGCGTTGTGGGATTAGCCGCGTGTGTGTCTTTCTTCTCATTCGAATGAAATCTGCACTCGGCAATGCTAATTAGGTTAAGAAATAACTAATCTAGTTGAGAGTTCCTGTGAGAAATTAATCAGATTAGTCCAGAGTGGAACACAACCTTATTAGGGGCGTAATAAGAGTAATTAAATCCATTGACAGAAGAACTTCATGACGATCATGTTGTATTGAAACACCATCATCAGACGTGCAAGTCTTTATTTTCATTTGTGACTCAATCGCAGCCAATCAGAACTTTAATAAGAGGAGGTTTTGGAGAGATCTATGTGTGTGAAGAAATCAAAAAGTCACATTTATTTTGAAAGCGTTTTATACAGCATTGATTCAAAGCAGCTTCGACGTAATAAACAGGAAAATGTAAATGTTGCAAAATGTATCAATTATGAAACGAGCTGTAAAGCAGAAGACAATAGAGTCATTATTCAGATCAGTTCAGGGTTGATTCTGTTCAGTTTAATTACTGAACTGAATTATGAACAAATTCGATTCAGCTCTAAAGCTCAGTTCAGATCGAGTTTGTTCTTGACTGATAGTGTCAGTGCAGTCAAATCAATGATATTTCTGAATATGAAGTGTGTTTTAGACCAGGACACAAACAGATTGACATATTTTCATCATCTGTCTCTATGATTTATTTCAGAGGCTCGACTGATTCACACACAGTCGATTAAACACTTCAGGAATGCTCAGTTGTGATTGGTCCGTGTCATTGATAAAATCATTTGCACTCAGATCAGTAGTTGTGTATTTTCGTGTATTTGAGATTTGAGGGTCGTGATCGTCCCGTGGGTTTATTTATCGATTCTGAGCGTCTGAGCTGATCTCTGTACAGGACTGTGACCTGATGAATCCAGCAGAGAGACGTTACTGAGCTTCACCTGCTGATCCATCTCAGTTAGAGCGGCTGAGCGAGAGGTCAGACGACACTTGACCTGCACGCACAAGCACACACACACACACACACGCTCACACACACACACACACACACAC